AGTTAGCAGAAATCATAAAGCTTCATATCACTCATCATGTTATGGGAATTCACTCCGAGAGTATTTCTTGATTGATAATTGGTTTAATAGAGCTAAGATGAAGTTCATTTTTGTGTGAATTCCCTAGAAAGTAGAAGGAACAATGACTTTGGAATTCAGACAGGTGGTGAACAAGTCAGAAACATTGCCTTTTTTTTTTTTTTCTTAAAAACCTCTCTCCAGCAACTACATTTTGTCTACCAGTTGAGACTTCCCCAAATGGAAGACAGAACAAAAATCCAAAGGTGAATTGAGTTGATGAAAGAAGAATATGGTTCTCTAATACTTGTAGTTATTTCTAGTCTCACTGTGAGCTTCTAATGAAATACAAATATTCTTTTACTGGCCTTTATCATTCCACAATGCTTTTTCTTATAGAGTGATTTCTTTCCTGGTATCTATTACTTACTTCTTATCATATTTGTGTCAGGAGTAGTAAGATTTATAATTAGTAACCATCATTGAAATATGGTTTTATAAGTCGATGCATTTTATGTTTTCTCCTACCTTTATCACTCATAAGCAAAATGGGGCTTCAGACAATAGTAGAATGGCACCTGCTAAAACTTACTTGTACAAGGCACAAGCGGAAGTGTAAGGCAGGAAAACCAGTAGCTTGCTGTGGTGACAAGTCGTGTTAACTCCCCACTGTTTCTTTTCTGCTTAGAAATTCAAGACAGACTTGTCAGTAATAATTTCCAGACTAATTTTTAAAAACCTGCGATTTCCTCTTTTATTAGTTTTAATAAAGAATCACTGCTCCCCTAAGCTTACTTGGAAAATTATTACCTATCAGCAAGACGGAAGACAAACATGTATGATATTGACAGTGGTAGAAAGTAGGTCCCTAATGATGGCAATTAAGAGGTGAAAGTTACTGTAAAAATATATATATATAATCTATTCTAAATTAAGTTCTTTTTGAAGATGTAACGTGAATTCTAGAGAGTTGATGATTGGAAACTAGTGGCGAGAATCTGATTTTACTGTCTAAGGTAGAAGCAGATTTGCTTTGATAAATAGTAAAATTGTGAAATAGGGGAGAAAAGGCTTCACAGAACTTGAACCAGCCCAACCCATGTATCCATTCATGGATAGAATTTTCATTAGCAATGGTTTCTTTCTGTGAGATGTAAGTACATCATTATTGAGATATAGTATAAAGACAGTGGCAGTCTCACTGTTTGCTGAAGTGGGGGTGAAATCATTGGCTTATTTTACACAAATGCTTATGGTCCTCTGGTTATCTGTAATGATTCATAACTTGGTGGGACAATATAGATCTGATCTGGGATTTGTCAGATTTGTTTTGTTATGACTACAGAACTTAATACATGGTGTTAGTATCGGGGCCAGGCTCAACATCCATGTAATTGACTTATTGTACTGTACTTCACTAAGTGTGCAGGAAATTCAGTTTGATTTGCAGTGCAATAAGTGTTATGATATAATAGGCCATTTTATAGTGGTGTCTAAAAAAATAGAAGGCAGAACTATGAACTTGAATGAATGAATGAATGAATGATCGAATGAATGGCTAGCAGGCTTGCTGAATGAATAAATGGGTGAATAAATGGAATCCATTGCCTTTATCAAGTCAGACTGGCTTTTCGAGATCCAGTGGAACTTTAAACTCCTCTAAAGTCCACCTATGCTAGGAACATCGGGTGTTCTATGGAGAGGTTGCGCTCCTAGTGGATTAGTTTGTCATGTAAGGTGCGTGAGACTTGAGTAGTGTAATAAGTCAGAAGCCAACCAATGCTAACAGAACGTGTAAGGAGGAAAGTTCAATAATGAATGATTCTGTGTCAAATGTGGTTAACAATGTATAAGGAAGGTGAGATGGCCCCCAGTGTAAGGAGACCAGGAAAAGGGAAAAGGGCTTTGAGTCTGCTGTCACTAAAGCGTGTTTTATAGCTTCCACTCTTCCCTGCCTTGTAGCTTAGCGGGAGAGACACCAATTATTGTCAACATGTTATTCAATTATTTTTTTAACCGTCAGCTCAGAGAGAAATCAGCTCGATGTCGACATCACTTTTTGGGAGAGATGGATGGGGAGAAATAATTCAGGTTTGAAAGCAATCGTCTAAATTTACAGCTGTATGTGGTCAAACAACTATTGACGCTTGAGAGTTTCCAATTGCTGGTAATAGACTGGAAAAAAAGATAATGTGTTTGATCGATCAGCATGAACAAATTTCATTTAGGGGATCAATAACAGTTTATACTTGACAGAGCTGAGGGACCACATTTATTTTTCCCTTTGATTGAATAAATGTTTTCAATGGGACTGCAAATGTAAAGCAATCCTAACCATTTCTTCACTTGAGGCACAGCTCCTGCTACAGCGTTATTGCAAGCAATGTGTATTTAAAACTAATATACAGAAAAGTGGATAGCCAGGGGCTGGAGCAGTTGAATGAAACTAATGTACAGTTTATTAAAACACAACACATGGTAAGAGAAAGGTTTCATTTTCTTGGTGTTGAGCAATGGAAAAAATAGGAGAGAGACATCACATTTCATGGTTTGAAGTTTTTTGGTGTGTTTTGTTTTATTTTTGTCTCCCTCTCTTTTTATTAAGATTAAACCCTTCAGTGGATGAAATAAATTCTGTAAAATATTCGATAGCAAAACAAGCATCAAATACCTGTGACGGATAACCCCAGGGTGAATCTTTCCATAGCACGTGCAGCACTGCCTGCCTTGGCCATCTGCATACACATCTGGCTGGCTCTTTTTCCCTAGAGCCATCTTCCCACCAAATATAGCACCGAGCTCTGAAAATGTTTCTTAAATGAATAAATGGTGGGACCAACGACTACCAATAGTGATTTCCTGCCAAATGGCCCTATAGCTGAAGTTGACTCATGGCCTTTCATCTGGGCTCGGTTGGCCAGTTCTGGGGTGTCTGCATGGCGTGCAGAATGTAAGCCCTCCTCATTTCCTGGATGGAAGAATGGCATCACAGGCCACGTGCAACTCAGCTAACGACATGAGCTAAAGGAGGGAGGTTTCCCACTGACCGTCTAGAAAGTGGTAGGTAGGAGTTTTGGTAGTTCTGGTCGCGAGACGAAACTGGCATTTTAAACAGAAGAAGCCCCTGATGGCTTTCGTTTTTTCTTGTATATGAAAGAGAAATGGTTCTTCTTCTTTAAAACATAGGTTTCCAACTGACATGCTGAGAGTCGTTTTGATCAGCTCTGAGGATTCTTTCCCCCCGCGGATATTCATTTCTAACGTTCCTAAATGTTCCTGTCCGGCATCAGAAAACGCAGATTCTAGATGCACAGCTTTTTTCTTTGCCTCGGTTTTATCAGGAGAAAGCGCTCTCCGGAGGCCTTGGGTGAACCTCAGGGGTAGTCGAAATGACCCTCCCGATGTTCCGCGCTTCCGTTCACGAAGACCTAGCGATACCACTTACGGGGACACAGCAACCACGCCATTGCGTGCAAATGCCTTCAGTTCAGGTGTCGCGCCGAAGAGAAGGGTGAAATTTTCTGAGCAGAGAGTTTTCCTTCTCGGCACAACGCGTAACAATTCCTCTCCAAAGAGGCTGGAGTTACAGCGCCCTGCAATTAAGTTTCCGACGATACAGATGACAGGCGTGCCTTGAAATGTGGGGAAGATGCCAACGGTAGGTGCGCCGCGTCTTGTTCCAGCTGCCGCAGCCAGCCCCACATTCCCCGGCATGTGCCTCTGCGTGCGAGCTGAGATGGTGAGAAGCCGCTCCTGCGGAGGGGCCCGGTGCCAGGTCTATTTTAGGCGCCGGGGCTTTGAATTGTTTAAAATGCATATTGTTTGTGTACATCTCACGAAGGAAAATGCCAGCTCCGAACGCCCCGGGCTGCTTGCATGTCAGATGATTAAGTCTTCAAGCCCTACAGCCGAGGGGTCATTATCAATGGCGCTTCCCGGTCAGGGTATCCGCAGCAGAGTTGGAGGCAATGGTTGACCTTTTGCTGGCACTTCGGGCTAACCCAGCTTCTGAGGGCATAAATAATCATTTTTAATTTGTTTGTCTGGGTTCTATTTGTTTAAGAATGCAAATGTATTATAACATATGTGACTTACAGATACTCTTTGGAGAAGGGAAAAGCAGTTTCCATAGCATTTCTCTTTCTTTTGAAACAAAACACTTACCGAAGGGAAGAAGATGACAGAATAAATAATAAAGATTAGTCAATTATACTCTGCTGCTTGGCAGTTTGGGATGATCACTTTAGAACTGTGCATTTTTCTTGTAAAGTGTGAGCTCCCTCGGTATTACAAAATAATCTTAGTTATCTTCCTCAGATATTAGCTATCCTTTTAAGTGATTTGATGATGCTTTAAAAACCTTATGTATCTCTATCTCTATCTCTATCTCTATATTTTTATATAATTTACCTTTAAATCAAAGTTTTTTTGTTTGATTCTGAGGAAATACATATCCATACTGTATTGATTTTGGACTGGATTAACTTCTGATGTCCTTGAGCTCTTTTCACCTTTGTGGAAGTATAAATACTGAATACGGAGTAAAATAATAAATCTCAAAAGAATAAATAATATTCAGGATTTTAACGACCTTCTTTCTACCGCTATCGACTAGCATTGACTATCGCACGCTGTGAAAGATAAAAAAAAATAAACCCGAGGCCTATCACTTAACTAGCGAGATAAGGCAGAGGGGATCCCGGAAATTCAGTGGTGAGCAACCATTAATTTCATTTTCTAAATTAATTATTAAAAGCGGTAATGTGATGGTGCATGAGTGATATGTCTGTTTTAGTGCAGATTCACGCTGGCCTTACAGATGATATGAAGTCTCTGAACACGGGGTGATAAAGCATGGTTTTACATCACAATAACTCTTGTAATAGTTAAGGTTACACTAGCTCCTTTAACAACAGTGACAAATGCATAATGGCACACATGCAATAGAAATTGATATTTTGGTCTGGTATAATCCAAAACAGGTGCTCTGGACTGGTGGATGCCTTTCCTCTAAGTAGTGACTCAAGAAGCCGGACTTCTTCCATCTTGTGGTTTCGTCGTCTTCAAGTATGGCACCCAGACATAGCCGAGATCCCCTTCCTGAGCTGGCAGAAAGAGGAAACGCATGAAGGACCTTGTGTGGGAGGCTTTGTAGGTCAGTCACTTCCACTCACAAGTCATTGACTAGAGCTTAGTTTAGTGGCCACACCCAACTGTAAGAAAGTTTGGAAAACAGTCTAGCTGTGTTCTGGGGAAGAAGAAGAAATCGATTTGGGAAGGGTTAGCCAGTGTCTGGCAAAGCTGTGGTACTTTAAAATGACATCACATTGCTGTGGCAGTGATAATAAACTCCGTGGCTGATGTGAGAGTTTATACAGGAATCCTCCAAAGAAATACATTTATTTGTTTCAAACTAAGAGATTTTGAATAACTGCACTTTGAACTGTCCGAGGTGATGTGTACACTTTTGGAAGACGATATGGCAAAGGTCCCAGCTCTCTTGGAGAATTGTTTCATCCGGGGAGAGAAGTGATGCAAACAGAAGTCAGTTCTATCGTCAACCTTATGTTGGGTCTCTGGCATTCAGACAGCTCTGGTTTCCATCCAGACCCAAGGAATGGTCATGTTTGAAAGTGACTCATCCTGTCTAATAATGCTTGGCTACTGAGACACTAGCTATGTAGGCAGTAGGAAGTAAAGGCTTCCAAAAAATTCTGTTTTTTTGTAGTGGATCCCATATTCTTTGGTTTTCTCAACAGAATACCGTCAGTTTCGTATATATATAAATGGAAGTGGCATGGGTACATTTAAAATAACACATCTGGCTGAATCATTAATATTTAGACTCTAATCATCAAAGGGTTTTATACTTATTTAAAATATGTGCTTAATTCTAGAAGTCATTATTATTACTGTTAAGCCCATTATGTTTACAACTCCATGTCTCTGTTTTGCTCCAGTTGTCTTCTTGTCCTTTCTTTTTCCTTTTTTTTTTTCTCTTTCTTGTTGTGTTCCTTAACCTCTGCCCCTTAAACTAATAAATTAAGTTCCCAGTATGTGAAGGTGCTGTCTGTTCCTGAGTTGTAATGAATGCCTCCTCATTAATCAGAGAGCAGAGATCCTGATGGAGATGTTCCCTTTTCTACTGTGAACCAGACGTCACGGTGCTGTGTCAGGTGCTTGTACTAGGTCCTTGGTCTCTATCTCTTGTATTCAGCACCCAGGTAAATCCATGAAAAATACACAAGAATTATTTCAACAATGACCAGAATGGTATTGTTGAGATTACAGAGCCTACGCTGGTTTTGTAAACTTAAGAAAAGCCAAACTCTTTTCTTCGGAGCAATGGGAATCCTATAATAGTTATTCTATCTATGTACTTCATCTATTACAGAAGGTTAGAAAATTTCTCTGAGTAGCTGAGCAATATAATTTGTATCTGTTATAATGAGATAAACTTAGTGAATAACTTGTGAAATTCATCTTATCCTTACAGATGTCAGGGCAACTAAGTATCATGAATATCTGTTGATTTCTCATTCCAAAATAAATAATGAGCAATGACTGAAATTTAAAAAGTAATCACTCCTCTAGTCATCTGGCTAATGTAATGTTGAAATGCAAGTATTTTTTTTTTCATTGAAATTAAAAGTATGTTCTCTGAGTGTAAATCACTGACTTCTGAACATGTTAATACCCTGCAGACATCAATTCACCATTCACATTCTCAAAGTCCGGGTTCGGTTACTGTGATGGCTGATGTCTGTTGTGACTTCAGGTTGCCAAGAGATGATTGGCTTCAGTGTCACCATGCAAAAATTTGTCCTGGTATTTCTTGGGAGAATCATATGTTTTTCTGAATCCCAAATACTGAGAAAGATCAGTTTAGAAATCCGGAAAATGGGGAAAAGTATTGTAATTCCACAGGACTTAAAGTTGAACAATCAACATAAAAATGTTACTGGAGCAGCTTCAAGTCAAAAGCAGGGGTAGGAACTGGGGTGCCTGGGTGGCTCAGTTGGTTAAGCGTCCGACTTCGGCTCAGGTCATGATCTCACGGTCCGTGAGTTTGAGCCCCGCTTCGGGCCCTGTGCTGACAGCTCAGAGCCCGGAGCCTGTTTCGGATTCTGTGTCTCCCTCTCTCTCTGACCCTCCCCCGTTCATGCTCTGGCTCTCTCTGTCTCAAAAATAAATAAACGTTAAAAAAATTAAAAAAAAAAAAGCAAGGGTAGGAAGTGCTGAGATGTGAAGTCCAAGAAAAATGTTTCCTGGAATGATGGCTAGAGCAAGAAGGACAGAAGTGGTCACAATCCTAATGAGTCAGGCTTCCCTAGTTACAGACTGGCTGCCAGGTTATAAACGTGTTTGTGATACTGTCTTATCTACTGGTTCATCAATCTCACAAATGAAATAAATATTTAGAAGTTTTTAAAAAAAATTTTTTTTTAACGTTTATTTATTTGTGAGACAGAGGGAGACAGAGCATGAACAGGGGAGGGGCAGAGAGAGAGGGAGACACAGAATCGGAAACAAGCTCCAGGCTCTGAGCTGTCAGCACAGAGCCCGATGCGGGGCTCGAACTCACGGACCGTGAGATCATGACCTGAGCCGAAGTTGGACGCTTAACCGATCGAGCCACCCAGGCGCCCCATAGAAGTTTATACATATAGTATATATTAAATCCTGTGATTGATGCCCCAAGAATAAACAAGTTTGGGGAGTAAAATGAGTTCCTAAATTGGTAATTTCAACATTTGATTCTGTGCAGTGCCTTTAACCTTGCTAGGAGATTAGAATGTTACTGTGTTCAAATACCTCTCAATAATATTCACTGGCATTTTCAGTGTTTGAATATACTCTATCAGTTACAGTTCTTTGTAAATAATACTAAACTTCATAATTTTTGGGTATTAAACAATTTTTGATTTTCACACTAGCAAGTAAAAAGTATGCAAAATGTTGAAAGTATCTTAAGAAACAAAGAAAATCACTTAGTTCATCATCTGTTTTAGATCAGAATAAAACACTCATTTATTATTATATCCTTTTTTAATAGAACAGTTCTGAAACTTTTAGTGTAACCCTATCCATGAATGATTCATGTTTATTATTATGGGCATTCATTACTATCACATAAAGAAAATCTTATGAAAAATATAAGAATAACTTATGATTTTGAGAATTCTCAAGAATTTGCAGGGGTTCCGAAGTTTCATTCCCAAATCCCAAAGATTCGTGTTTATCAAGAATTTGGAAATACTATTCTTTTTTTTTTTTTTTTTAATTTTTTTTTTCAACGTTTATTTATTTTTGGGACAGAGAGAGACAGAGCATGAACGGGCGACGGGCAGAGAGAGAGGGAGACACAGAATCGGAAACAGGCTCCAGGCTCTGAGCCATCAGCCCAGAGCCCGACGCGGGGCTCGAACTCACGGACCGTGAGATCGTGACCTGGTTGAAGTCGGACGCTTAACCGACTGCGCCACCCAGGCGCCCCTGGAAATACTATTCTATTCTCACACTTAGTTGAAGTGAGAGAGATGCCTTTACACTCAGCAGATGGATTGAGCAGCTGGACCTCCAGGGGGCAGTTTGGGAATCCCAATGGTAACAACTCTTTTCAATACGAAGTAATGTTTTTAACTCTAGTGATACGAATATGGGGAGTTGAAGTACTATTATGCTCTGTGAGGATCAGATAAAATTTAAATGACGGATCTAAAGTTAAATTGCCAAGGTATTTGTCAGGGTTCTCACACATAGGAACGTAGATTATAACCCCAGGCAATAACTTTGAATATTTGACTATTACTCAAAGTGGGTTGATTTCTAAGGCTGATGTGAGTTGCTATGAAATATACCAGTTGACTTAAAAGAGGTTCCAGTTATACCAAGTGCTTCTCTTAGGACAACAGGGACTCTATGCTATCGATGTCCTGAGGAACCATTTCTCTTCAGACTCTGTTCTGGATCCGGCTCAACTGATGTGACATTGTGTGACTGGCTGGGTACGGGACAGCTTTCGTGCCTGCACTTAATAGCTCATGAATTATTTTAAGACTGAAAGCCCTCAGAAATAAGAAGCAGCTTTCAGTGGCATGGACATCCTTCAGTCTCCACCTGTGTTGTATATTAATTATGTGATCATCAATGCATCAGGCTTGAGTGGAAGTCTATGAAAAGACCAAGAGAAGGATGACCTGGAAAGTCAGGTGCTTATCATTATGTGAAATAAGATAAAGATGAGAGTGAGGCCTTCCCACGTTGAGGCCGGTGGGGTGGAATGGAAATGAGGGGATCCGAGCTCTAAGCTTGGTTCTATGTGCCACTGGATAAGTCATTTGTTCTCTCTGGCTAAGAAGGTCTTGTTCGTAAAATAAGAAAGCAAGCTGGATGATCTTTGTGATTAACCGTATCAGCAAACGAGTTTCATTTTCACTGTCAGTGCCTTGGTTGAGGTCCTTATTAACCCCAGTTTGACTATTCCAAATATCGCCTGGGTTCCAGTTTCACATTTGTCCACCCTGTTTTCCACATTCTTGTTAGAGATCTGCCAAAAACACAGGTCTGATCATTTCAGCACTCTCTTTACAACTCCACGGTGGTTTCCGATTTCCTATAAAACGAAGCAAATTTATTTTTTGTGGCACTTAAAGCTTTTTATGATTTGGTTCCATTTATACCTTCAGCCTCATTGCTCTTTATCCCTCAGAATATATCCATGGTTACACCTTACCCATCTACCAAAAAGATGAAAATATGTGAAACTGAAAGATTTTGCTCCGGTCCTACTCTTTATTTTGACCTGTATATATTTATGCTAGCTATTACACCTGAACGAAAGGCCTTTCCTCACAATCTGCACCTAGTGCTCTTCTTTTCATTCTGCAAAATTCAAATGAAGTATTTTCTGATTCCCCTTCACGAGAAGAGTTGACTGTCTCTGACTTCATGAAACCATGGTGTCTAGCCCATACTTCTACGTGATCGTAATTATACTGCATTAAAACTTTTTATCATTTTTTCTTACAATCATCAAATCTTACTTTTCCATATTTATTTTCTTGTCTATCTCATGGTTGCTACCTAATAGATTCTCAGTACATGTTGGCTTACTGGAACTAGCATTAATGGGTATCAGCTCCTTAAGGGTAGGGGCCATAATTATCTTCTTCACCATTATATACTCAGCACTAAACGTAATGTCTGAAACAAAATAGATGTTTATTGAATATCTGTTAGGTGAAATATTCACAGGTTAATAAATGTATTAATGGTTTTTTGTTTGAAGATATCAACCCAAGTTCACCTCAGCTATAGTTATAGTCACTGTTGTCCTATGGAAGTTTTTATTTGGTAGATAATGTTAATGTGATGGGAATGGTCATTGATTTTGGAATATACTATTAAGTAAAGTTAAACGAGGAGAAAATTAAAAACAAATTCTTCTTGTAAGCTATGCATATTTGGAAAGTAGACTTCGAAACTGGTCCTTTTATACCTCTCATTATGTACTATACTCGTGGCCAGAAAGATTCTAATCCTTTTTCCGCAGGTATATCCTTCATCCCCTGTTTCTTGTGCCACCAGTGATAACCTGTGTAGTCTTGATCAGTTTCCTCGTTTTAAAGATAGACATACTAATTCTTATTGCATTTATAGGGATGATGGAAGGCCAACTTGTAGGAAGGTGGTTTGCTATCTGTAAAGCTCCATACAAAGGAAAGAAATTATTCTTTCCATATATGTCCCTAATTCTAAAGTTACTCTTCGTGTCTAAATCAAGTCCTCTTTCTTAATCTTTAATGCTATTCTCAGAAGGTCTGGTCCTGTGGAAATGAAGATTAACCATTCATTTCCCTTTTTTTTCCTTTCTTTTCTTTGTTTTTAATGTAACTGATTGCCAAGTTGATTAACATACAGTGTATACAGTGTGCTCTTGGTTTTGGGGTAGATTCCCGTGATTCACCGCTTATATACAACACTCAGTGCTCATTCCAGCAAGTGCCCTCCAATGCCCATCACTTCTATTTGGTGAGGAGGTATATATATTCTATTTAATATAACGCAAGTTATTCAACACTTTCAATTTCCTTTTCCACATGTATTAGTCAGCTTTGACTGCCATAACAAAACACCATAAGTTTCATGGATTAAACAACAGAAATTTATTTCTCATAGGTCTAAAGGCTGAGTAACTCAAGATTAAGACGCTGGCTGAGTCAGTTTCTGCTAAGAGCTCTCCTCCTGGCTTGCAGACAGCCACCTCCTTGCTGTGCCCTCACATGACATGGATACAGTTTTCTGGTGTCTAAGAGTATGAATTGTATTGGGTCAAGCCCCAACCTTTATGACCTCATTTAACTTTAATTACGTCTATAAAGGTGCTATCTCAAATACTGTCACATGGGGGTTAGGGCTCCAGCATCTAAATTTGGGAGAGTCATGGTTCAGTCCATAGCACCATACCGAATAACAACTATGGAATTTTTTCCATTTTGTGTCACCAGATTTTTAATTAATGCCTATGCTTCATCCTGGTTATATGTACTTTAGTGAACTGGCAGAATATGTGTATATATGTATATATGTATGTGTATATATGTATGTATAAATATATATATTTATAGGTTAAGGTATATATATATATGTATGTATAGAGGTATGTGTGTGTGTGTGTGCGTGTGTCTGTGTGTGTAATGTTTGTTCTATTTTTGTATTAAAATATTTAATTTTATATTTTGAACATATGAACCCCAATATTCCTATCTCAAAGTCTCTATTGGCTATGATTAAAGTTTAATTAGGGTTTTTTTTTTACAAGTAAGAAAAAAATATCTCCTCTACGTTTTTGTTAATGTTATGAATTAGCAGGAGATATTCAGAAATAGAGTTGCCTACATGTTGTTTGAAAATTGTTTACAGCAAATAATGAACAAAGCAAATCAGATTGCCAAAGGCCTGGCTGTTGAAAAAGTGTAGCACATTATTAATTAAAATACAAGTCAGCTTTTCCAGCACTTGTAGCCTGTGGGTATCGAATGTACTCCACTTGATTGAATCAGGTAGTGGCAGCACAGGCATTTTTTATTTTGTGCTGGAAGGGATAACAAAAATGTAAAGCTGTTTTCTGCTACTTCATTTGAAAAAATATTATTTTGGAATGAAGGCCCACCAGCTGCAGCAGACAGGCAGAAATAATATAAAATCTACACTATACCCTTGCACTGTGCTTTTTAAACAAGGGGTCTACAACCTCAGACACTCTCCTGGCATTGTATTATAGGCAGACCTTTGTCTATGGCCAAGGAAACAGTTTCCATGGAGATGTGAGGCATTTGACAATGGTCACTGTTTTGGTGAAGAAAATTAATCCAAGCAGGAGACCAGTTTAGAGTTATAAGATTTTTTTTTTTTTCTAAGCAGAAGGAAGGGAAGAAAGAATTGAGAAGTAGCATAGAAGAAAAGCATATCTGCCTTTCGGGTATTCTTTTTAACATGCTGAAGTCAGTGAAATTTGGAGAAACCACAAAGTGTGTTTCCAGTTTCAATGCTGATGGGAATTCTCAGGTGAAAGAAAAAAATAGTAAAGAGAATATGATCTTTTATAATACACTTAAATATTTAGTTCACCCCTAGGATAAGTCAGGAAAAGAAATAATGCTGAGAGTTTTTTTTTTTAATTCAAACACTACCAACCATTAAACTAGAAACTGATACTTTTTAACTCTGCCTGTTCCAAACTCTTCAAGAACAGAGATCTCTTCTTATTCATCTCTGTCTTTCTTTTAGTCCAACATCTGGGAGAATAATTAGAATAGTAGGTTTTTCATAAATGTTTGTTGAATGTCGTGGATACATCAAATCGTGAGGATCCATAAAACAAGAAATACAATAATTTAAAAGAATTGTGAATGCTACCTACAGAATCAACTCTACCCATGTCAGAGCCCCTCTGGATTCCGTTCAGACAACTCTGAAAATGTTTTAACGCTTTTCAGGCCACCAGCGTTGAAAAGAACATTTAGAGATTTTAAGATGGTTTACAAAAATGCCTGGTGAAGAAACAGGGTTGGTATGGTAATAATGGGCAGAAGTGAAACGGAGTGAGTCACATGCCTTTTGGACTTGTGGGATCTGGGTGTCTTTTTGGGTGGAATTAGTCACCCCTGGCCATTGGATTGAACTTCCTTCTCCTTTATTGCGCTCATAGGTTCGAAATCTTTATAGTGGGCACCAGTGGATCATATTAATCTCTATCTCTTGTGACAGATTTCCTGGGTTTAAATTAGCGCATTCCTACGGTTCTCAAGTTAAAGCCTTCAATGAAGCAAATTAAATATCTACCAAATTCACTCAGTTCCATCCCATGCTTTAGTCCAGGTCTGCCATTCTCTAATTCATAATAATTGTCTGAGATGTCGTCTTTACCCTGAGAGGTTTCAGTGGACTTTGTTTATCATTTAGAAAGCTCTCCCTATGTAAGGAAGCTCTTCACTGACCTAGGTTCATGATGCCTTGACATGTTCCCTGGACCTCAGGGAGGAGTGAGCTATGTGCCATTCAGACACAGGGGGAAGGAGCTGGCTTCTGTCTCAATTCCAGAAGCAGCATACTCTGTCTAGCCTGCCAGAAGGATGTTCTATAATGACAAACCACATTTTCTCTTCCCTCCCTCCCTTTTTCTCCTTGGTGTAAAGTATATGCTAAATCTGTTTGTTTCTCCCCCTGTGGTGTGTCCTCTTCTCTCATCCTTTCTAGTGCCCAGTATGAGCTCATTATATCTTTTTCAGTCATTTTTGAGCCCATGCCTTGTCAACACTCCCTTTAGAACTTCCTTCCCTCCTTATTCCCTTTTTCTGTCTGCTGTAGGTACAAAGTGGTTTTCTTCCTTCCAAATCCCTACGCTGCCAACAGAATTTGCCTTAGGAATTAAGGGCACATTTACAAGATTATAAATTGGTCATTGATATATGGGCGGTCCATTTCCCCCCCTCCATTCTCACAGGCTTTTAAGCTGTTTGCATGGCCATGAGACAACAGACAGTTTTCAAAGCTATCTTGGCCTTTCTTGTTTTTTACTTCCTCTCTCTTGTGGGCATGTAAATCTTCGTTGCTATAGAGCAACTGATTGTGACCTTATGTGTTAGCAGTTCTGTTCCCTGAAAACTAAAAATAGGCCTTAATCTTCTCAACATGTGAGTATCCAAAAGGGGCTCTTTGATTAATAGCTGCCTATATGTAGTGGCATCCGTGTCCTCCTTCAAGCACACTGGGGGGTGGGGGGGTGGGGAGAGGGTGCTGGCGAAGGAGAAGAGCTGCAATGTTACCATTTGTTATGGACGGCTTGTTGTCTTGTCTCCAGAGTCCAGCTCTTTCCTGACTTCTGTGCTCCATTGAGAAGGTCACTTTTGTAGGCAAACACTGTGAAAAATACACTACCAAACATAGGCTGTGTGTCTTCCTTTGATTTTGAAATTCAATTCAATTTTTTCATTTTATATGTCAGTTCTCAAAAGTTACATGAAGCTACATTTCGCTGCATAACAGAATTTTAGAGAACCTAGTTCTCAGTGGTGCTCCAGTAATTAAATAAACAAATTCCCCTCCCCTTCCCCCTACCAAAAGACCTAGGCATCGAAGTCCAAATTATAATCTTTTTTTTCTTTTTTTTTTTTTAAATCACTGGTTGCCTTTGCAGGGGTGAATGAGATTCCAATTGCTAGTAGCTCTGATAGGCTCAACACCTGCGTGTGTTTGAAATCCACATTCAAGTACATATTGGGTCAAACCCTAACCAGATGTAGGTACACAGCCAAGTTATTGGATTTCTTGATGATGAATAGAAAGCAGACAATGCACCTGTCTGGTTGTGGAAAGGATTTGCATAAAAATGAAGGAAGAGTACACATGCTTATGTAAAGTGGTGATTACCAGGATCACCTATATATGTATGTAAAAAAAAAAAAAAAAAAAAAAAAAACAACAACCCACACAATACAGTTTTTCTAAATGAAACCATGTGAGGTGTTATAAACACACACGCACATTTGCCAACAATTAGGAAACGTGTTGCTAGTGTGGGGCTATGTTAGAACGATTTGATTTCCTGGCATATTTATCCTCTGAAGAAGTGAAACACTATACTATGCCAGTTACTTAGATGTTAGATACAAAATGCTGCTTGCCATCTGATCTTTTGTGCTTGAGGTAGATGGAGGAAATAAAGATTAGGAACAAACTCCTCACAGAGATGTGAGGTACCCAAAGAGCAAGGCTCTTTTTATTGAACACGAAATCTCCATGGCAGGTAATATGGCTGGGATTAACTTTTATTTTGAGAATTCAGATTCTCAGCTCAAATCAACTGACTTGACGGCTTGATGAGATTTCCACTGAAAATAAGTATTTATTGTATAAAGACAAAAGAAAGGAAATGTACTCTGGTTTTGTTCTATTTTGTTTTTTAAAGTTGAATATTCCTTCATTTTTTTCTTGCAGTCACCCTCGCGTGATCTTATCTATCTGCAACAGCCCCTTTCTTAGCCTATAGGCCACCAACCTTCAAATTTAACTCTTCACTGAAAACTTTCCTCCTTGTTTAAACTCATCAGTGTTTGGGGCGCCTGGGTGGCGCAGTCGGTTAAGCGTCCGACTTCAGCCAGGTCACGATCTCGCGGTCCGTGAGTTCGAGCCCCGCGTCGGGCTCTGGGCTGATGGCTCGGAGCCTGGAGCCTGTTTCCGATTCTGTGTCTCCCTCTCTCTCTGCCCCTCCCCCGTTCATGCTCTGTCTCTCTCTGTCCCAAAAATAAATAAAAAACGTTGAAAAAAAAAATTAAAATAAATAAATAAATAAATAAACTCATCAGTGTTCTAAAACATCTTTGTAGTGATACTGTGATTCTGGCTGAAAGAATTAAAACCATAGACCTTATGTTTTGAACCTCGTTTTTAATGTGAAAATATATCTAAAAATCAAACCAAGTGTGGGAGATAACAAAAATTTTAAATTATCATTATACTCACGCATCATTGCCATCACCAAAAGAAAATATATATTATATATTTATATAATATATATAATATAAATATATAATATATATAATATAAATATATAATATATATATAATACAAATATATATACACAGAGAGAGAGAGAGTTGATGTAAGATACATGACTTACAGTTTAGACTGTAAATAGTAGCTCCATCACAGTGATTCCAAATACTACCTAAGAACCCATCTATTCAGAAGGCATGAATTCCATTATCTCTCTTCTCTGGAATGGACCACCCCTCACCCGATGTACTCAGAAACTTCTCAGAGCACTTTCTTGTCACTCAGGACCGGTCACATTTGTTCTTATTTTACAGGTATAGATGTCATCCTTGCAGTAGGAAACATTCTGCCCTGGCCATCAGAAAGTGTTTTCCTGGAATGTGCTGTTCCTCTTTTGCTGCCAACTCTAATGTTGAAGGTCAGAGGGTAACAGATGAAATCTAGAGAATGCAATCAACCAATTCCCAACTTCTAAGTGGTGCCGAAGTGTTTTTATTTCCTCCTGTGACTGAATCGTGTCTCTTTGTTCCTCTTCACTGCTTGATTCCCCACCTGATTGTAGAGCCACTTGGAATTGAACTTACTTGCTTCAGGGGGACTTCAGTGTTGCCGTTACCCCCATCAAAACCAGAAACTTTGGGAAAGCAGGTCAAAGGTAGACAGTTTGAAAAGTACCTCCACTGTCTCTGTTCCACACGGAGAGCACATTACCACCTTTCCTCCCTGGCTGTGTTATCTCATTGCCACTCCAGATCCATTATCCGCTCTTCTCTTCCCTGCCATGTTCTATGTCCTAAGATTCTAATATCTCTGCATCTCATACACAAGCTGCTTTGCTTTTCAGCTTCCGGTTGAGTTTGACCAGTAGGAGGCATTGGTGGGAGAATGACGGTGTGGGAAAAAGGAAAGATCAGCGTATTTTTTCCTCCTCATACTCGATCTGGGAGGTAGTTTTAATATTGGCTGCATTCTTCTGCATGAGATAATGGTTCCTTCTGGTGGCTCCTGTCCCATAATTATAGCTTTCAATGGCTTTGAGAGAATATTGTATCCTGCCTTGGACCATTCAGAACTAAGGGTGAAAATGGCTTAGCACTATTGCTAGTTTCTAGGTGCTTCCCTGTCGCTTTTTAGTTCCCCTAACCCTGCCCATATCTCTGTAAATGATTCCTTTACTAAACACTTTTTAATTGCCTCCTTTGAATATGACATTTGTTTCCTTCAAGGGTCATGACTGATCAATGTAGAAACACTTATACAGAGAATCTGTCTCCTGTTATAGCAACAATTCCCATGAAAGGGCCAGTCCACTAGTATCTTTTTGTTTTCATGGGAGTTTATCTCAGGACTTGATTGGTTTTCCCTAAAATTTGATTGAGGATTTTCTGGGCCACCCTGGAAGTTTTAAATAATTTTGAATCTCATTCAAATGATTTGGGAGAAGGAATTTGCCTCTATGCTTTACCTTTCAGCTGACCCCTATGCTTCTCACACATTAGCCTACCCCTTCCAATAATTTTTAGGCTGTGTCAATTATTTAACAGATTAAAGATAAATAGATATCAGGGAAATGCAAATCAAAATCACAGTGAAATACCATTTCACACCTATAAGATAACTGTAATCAATAAGACAGATAAAAAAAATATTGGCGAGGCAGTGGAGAAATTGGAATCTTATGCACCATGGTGCGAATGTAAAGTAGTATAGTCACTTTGGAAAACAGGCTGCAGTTTCTCCAAAAGTTAAATATAGTTTTACCATATGACCCAGCAATTCCATGTCTATGTGTATATTCAAGAGAAATGAAAACCTATGCCCCCAAACTTGTACACAACTGTTCATATCAGCATTATTTATAGTAGCCAAAAAAGGGGAAACAACCCAAATTTCCATCAACTGGTGAATGGATATATGGTACAGAATAGTATTTGTTATAAAAAGAAACAGATTATTGTTACATGCCACAGCAAGAATGACCCTTGAAAACGTTATGTTAGGTGAAAGAGGACAGTCACCAAGGCCACATTTGTATGATTCCATTTACATGAAATATGAAGAACAGGCAAATCTATAGAAACAGAAAGTAGATTAGTGGTTGTCTTGGGCTGGAAGGGAAGGGTTGGAGGTAAATGGGGAGTCATTGCTAGTGGGAACCATGTTGCTTTTTGCCATGATGAAAACTTTTTTTTTTTATTTTTTTTTTAACGTTTATCTATTTTTGAGACAGAGAGAGACAGAGCATGAACGGGGGAGGGGCAGAGAGAGAGGGAGACACAGAACCGGAAGCAGGCTCCAGGCTCCGAGCCATCAGCCCAGAGCCCCACGTGGGGCTCGAACTCACAGACCGCGAGATGGTGACCTGAGCCCAAGTCGGACGCTTAACCGACTGAGCCACCCAGGCGCCCCATGAAAACATTTTTAAATTAGCCATGGTGATGATTGCACAGCCCTGCAAATCTACCAAAAAAAAATTGAACCACACATTTTAAAAGAGTGGAATGTGATCTAGATCCCAATTAGATGGAATGTGACCTAGATCTCAATTATAAAAACAGGCAAATGGATGAATCGAAAACAAAAAATGGGCCTCCCCTGGTAATTACCTTCCTACATATACGATTGGTGAAGAGGAAGATTTATGAAAATGAAAAGGATTTATAAAAGTAAAAATATATATATATGGATTTCCACAAGAGTTATAAAAAGCTAACTTGATAAAATATATACCATCATGTAAATATAATCTATCCAAATCTTTCACTTCTTACATTGAAAAGCCTTAAACCCTTTGGATTATTTCACATTTTCTACCAAACGAAAGGGCGAAAACCAGGAAAAAATTTGAACCAAGAATGCTAAACAACTTCTGCAGAATTTCATTCTTACTCAAAATAAAACTAGTGTTTACAACACAAGAGTTTTCCAGATGGCCATGCAAATTAAAGCTCAGGAATACACTATACACCATATTATTGTTGTTTAGTATTTATTGAGCACTCACAGCATGCAAGGCGCTGAAAAAATAAACTACATCCCCAGCTATGCAAATTATAACCTAAAAAGCATATAAAATCATATTACCTACTGTCTTCAATGGATTAATAATGCATGAAATATTCCAAAGGTCAGGGCTCAATCATATTAATATTGGTGCCAGGAATATATCTTGTTCAAATTAACATGTTTTCTTTATTCCCTCTCTTTTCCTGGATATTTTTCTTGAGATATTTCTAATATTTTTATACCATAATACAATCCCTGATATTAAAAAATTTCATCAATAAATATTTTTGCAACATACGGCATAATATATGACAAAGATTTTCTTAGAATTCCATTTTTACTAACATTACCTTTTGCAGTGATGCTTCTAAATCTACGTCATTGACCTGGACCCTTCCTGGCAAAAGGGCTAGTTAACCAAGATAACAGTTAAAGATCTTAAGTGTAGTGTTGCTAATTGAGAGAGCAGCAATTTAAAACATCTTAATACCAAGAGTCTCTTGGCTGTGTGTAGAGGCTGAAAATTATTTACTAAATTGACATACATCCCATTTTCATTTCTTAGCCCCAGGCTGACTTCGATACTGACAGGAAACTTGTAAAAGACCTGTTAGGAAGGATGAATCTTCATAGGTTTCTATAACATTTTTCATTATAACAAGGGAAGACAATTACATGCTTTTACACTCATAACACACCTAAGCTGCCATGTACTGGAATTGTCTCCACTGGTGCATATCTCTTGGAATCTGCAGTTTCCTCATGGGATAATGCTTTATTTAAATGAAGTAAATTTTAGTCTGGGCTGGTTATGCATTGGGGATAAATAGAGAAAAGAAAGTTCCAAAATTAATTAAAAGATTGGCAAAGAAGTTAAGCCTGGATGCTATAGCTTACCTCTATCTATGAGGTTATGCCTCCCTGTATTTTTACATTACATTTTCAACCCCAACATCTATAAAATGCCTTGGAAAGGATACATCCACTTATCTTCTTTAAATGTTTTAGCTTACCATGAAGTGACTTTTTTTCAAGAATTGTTTTGATGTTTATTTATTCTTGAGAGAGACAGACACAGAGTGAAAGTGGGGTAGGATCAGAGAGAGAGGTAAACACAGAATCTGAAATAGGCTTCAGGCTCCGAGCTGTCAGCACAGAGCCCGACGCGGGGCTCGACCGACGTGGGGCTCGACCCCACGAACTGTGAGATCATGACCTGAGCTGAGGTCAGAAGCTCAACCGACTGAGCCACCCAGGTGCCCCACCATGAAATGACTTCTATAGTACTAATAATTTTAATCTAGGCCATTTTTAGTGGATTTTCATTGAAATTTTTCTTGTAGTGGGATGCAGGTACTCCGTATTATTATGATTTTTCATCATAACATTATTATGATTGTTAGAGTTGAAAATATGCATTCTTCTGATTTCACAATCTTTTAATTTACTCATTAGAGAGAGTTATGGTCTAAGATAGCTACTGTTTTGGTGACATGCTGACAAGTGGTGACAGTAATAGACAATTTACAGCAAAATTTGCATATCATTGGCTTCTGGGCATATATTTATCCTATATTCTACACACGCCTGTCATATATATTTGTATGTGAACACTATGTTTGCGGCAAGGGCTTTAGATTTTATATTTTCCGATCTGAAACAAGATCAACAAAATCTTGCTGAAACATCACTGAATTGAATTGGCAACTCCCTTGTACAAAGAGCAAAATAAAAAAGCTGTTCAACTTTTATGCTGTTCCTCCTTAAGCTCCCTGGTTCTCCGGTAGTACTTGGTTACCTAGGCTGGCAAATTGCATCGCGACAGTGACTTCCTCTTATTAACTTAGCATATTAATGATGAGAGACTACCTGATAACATAAAAGGCACAAGGAGACACTTTAGGGATAAATTCATATTGAAAATAAATATAATGTGGGTAATGTTTGCATTTTGGTTTCCTCAGCTGCCGTGTTTGTACCATTCCAGGGAAATATTGCTTTTGGAGAGGGCAAGAGAATACAGGAAGGGTTCAGAATCCTTTTGGGAAATTTGGAGTGCCCAGAATCCAATTTGGGAATTTTTCCTTGCTCCATGCATCCTTCTGACTCTCCTTCCTTGTCACTCATTTGTTCCTTGATCACCTTTGTGAGGAGAGGACTATACCGATGTGATTGAAACTGTCCTCTGATATGGAGTGGGTACATGGCGTTTAGAAAATAATAATGATAACAACAATAACAATACACGAAGAAAAAGGAAAGGAAAGAAAAAGGAGGAGGAGAAGATCCCACTGCCATCTGGTCCTTTTATGAAGATTTGTGAAGCAGAAGAAAATCTTAGGACATAGTATTTCTTGTTAAAATATGATATCATTGAATGAAGGACAAAGATTTATTGTGTATCTGCTGCACTTATAGCTGGAGCTTACTTTCCATTTTTCCTTTCAAGATTCTCTTTCACCCATGCCA